GCTGCTCGCATATCTGAACACCAACGTTCGGTGGCACTTGGCAATTGTGACACGGAACTTTCCAAATTGGTGATACAACACCACCACGTAGCGCTTTGGAATCGAGTGGAAATACTCAAACGCTGTGATGAAGGGAACTTGATATACATTTGGGAGGCCCTCCTCACAAAACTGCTCTCCCCGTGCAACACCCCTACCCTCGATTTACCGGACGTCTGGATTAATTTATTCAGGCGGTTAAAAAACCAACAATAATTTTGCATTCTCTTCCCGCACCTCCTACATGATTCAAAGCACATACATGTCGGCCCCTTTATGTGCGTCTTTTTACGTGTGTTATGTATTTTAAATTATGTCCCGCGCTTTAATATTTAAAATTTAAATTTTAACATAAACTTGCACTTGTGGATCTATTCCGATCGGTTTCTATGCTATCTATGTTAAGGCGCATGCGTGCCAAAAATTTTATACGTATTTACAAAGTGTTTTAATTTAAATTCTAAAAATTTAATTGTACTTAATAGACATCTAATTGGCTCTCATGTTATGCATGTTAAGGTGCACGTGCGCCAATTTTTCGCGTTCACATAATAATTAATAGCCACTCCAATCGATGTTTATTTGTTTTAAAACGCATGCGCACCAATTTTAAATGTTTAATTCTAAATATTTAAATTTAAAATCTCTTTTTTGTATGTTCAAAAACGGCTAGTATCGTTAATGTTTTAAATTTAAATGTATGGTTCGAATTCTTTATTCGAATTTAATTTTACCTGAAGACGATGTGCTTATTTACGTCAAAAGCGCTCGTAAATTAAAATAATTTCAAGTATATTTAACGCTTCATAGACTGACGTTCTTGGAAGAAGAAGTTTTGATTGACATAAGTTGGCGTGACATCCAACCCGTGAACTTAATACACCTAACAATATATTTTGTTTATTTCAGCAATCAAAGTTAGGAAATATGTTTCATAGAGAGAAAAAAGTTGTCAAATCTCTTTGTATATTTTTACATTATGAGTTAGAATTATTGTGTAAAAGTATTTAAAAATATTATTTACATATTGTATAATTGTGTTGATTTAATTTTTATTTTCAGTGCCATGAGAGATCAATACATGAGAACAGGGGAAGGATTTTTATTAGTATTTGCTGTTAATAATGCAAAATCTTTTGAAGATATTAGTATGTACAGAGAACAGGTATATTTACAATTTAAATCGCTTTTATAAATGCTTTAAGTATTTTCAATTTTATTAAGATAGAAAATTTTACAGATAAAGAGAGTTAAGGATGCAGATGATGTACCTATGGTTTGTAAGTACACCTACTTTTTAATAATTCCTTAATATTTTTATTTCAACAATCATACAATAGATAATAGCAACATTTAATGATAAACACAGTTTCTGAATGCAATGCATTTCTTCAACTATTGTATTTTTATGGATTGACTGGCATGCCCGAATATGTTGGGAGACCATGAAATCAGATACTTTCTTATGGTAAAAAGCAACATGCTAGTTTATCCTAGGGGATGCCAGCATATTGATTTAAATGAAATTATATATCCTTTAGAGGGCATGTGAAAAAACAAATGAGTTAGGTTGCATGGCTTTGCATCAAAAACTATGATTATATGTTTAATTTCTACATTTTGTCTTCTTTCTAATGATGTAAAATACTCATGGATTGATGAAATTGCATTTTTTTATTTTTTATTTTTGTCTATTGTAATTTGATACAAAAAATAATTTACACAATTGAAATTTGATATGTTTATCTCAAGTTTTACTGATTGATATTGGATTTGTTTGTAATTGGAGAGTGATAGATTGTTTTTCTGAATTTAGGATAGTAAAACCATTACTTTCCCCCACAGATTGTCAGTGCAGTCCATACCACCCTCTATAGATAATGTTAATAAACTGTTAATTGTTTTATTACTCTGAAAACAAAAACTCACTTTACTGAGTTGGTCAATTTATAACATTACTGTTTAACTATACTTGGAAGAATGCTTTCTTTAACATCTGTCAAGTTTGGCGAAATCTGATTACTTTAATTTTATTTTTTGTGATATAATCACGCAGTTATCAAAATTTGATTATCTTAATTCAAAAATTAATATCCCTTGAAATATAGAAAGCATCAATATTTATTTCTGATTGCTTCATTTCTCAAATAGAAAACATTTCTGGTTAAACAATCAAATGCATGAACCATCAAAAATTTGGTTATTTATGACAGTGATTCCCAACCCGGGGTATGCGATATGTTGTTTAGGGGTACAGAAAAAAGTTAGTTATTATGGCAGAAAAAATAATATATTGTGCTGAGCCTACTATTAATTTAATATTCAAATGCTTTCTGCCTATTTTTAATAGGCCATTTTCAGAAAATTACTGTTCTACAATATTAAATTAATAGTAGGCTCAGCAAGTGTTTTGGTGTTTGATTATATTTTTAAATATATTATTATGTATCACAAATTAATAGTATTAAAAAATTATTAGGTAAAAAATGTTCCTTGAAACAATCACAAACTTTATTATACATTTCAAAATGCAAAAATAGAAATAAAAACTTATTCTACTGATTGTACAATACAACGGGTCAATAAATGTTGCACAGTCTGTCAATAGTAGTGAGGATACCATTATGCGTGATTAGTGATTATGCTACAGACTTTTGATGGTGGGATGTGTTACCATTATTATTATTATCTTTCAACAATATCCCCATGTGTTGTTTGAAAAAAGTATTTTTTTTTTTTTTTTTTTATAAAAAATATTTTTTTTTGTTAGCAAGGAAAAGGACATAGCTAGTTTCTCCAGATTTTCTCTACAAGTGGTAATTTTGTTCATTATTTATTCAGTATTTTTATTAATTTTTTATTGACAAGACTATGTCTTGTTTTTAAAATTGTACTGCCTGCTGTGAAGTATGAGGAGTACATGTCAGAAGTTGCAATTTGGCACAGAGTATTAGGTGCCCAAATCATGTGTGCACAAAAAAAAACCAGACTTGTAGGTCTTCGGAGGACAAAAAACCGAGTCAAAATAAAATTCAAAATGGTGATACTCTCTACAAACAGGCAGTGTGAGATTTGCACATGCATTGCTTGTTGGAAAGTTGGAAATGCCATGGAGGTAAGCTAATGAGAAAAGGTTGGGAACCATTGATTTATGACAATAATTTAAATATTCAACATTGTCTTTATAATTTAAAAAATTCTCATAAATTTATCAAATAAATGCATTTGCAATACTGTAATGCCTGAATAACATTGTTATAAAAAAAACAAAAATTTTACTTTTTACACAGTTTGTATTATTAAAATTAATTGTTATATTTTTGTCACTGCACTGTGTATAACAATGTGATGTGTGAAAAGATGCATTATCACAAGCAAATGCAGCAGTTCATTTGAAATGAACTGGAATTTATTTTTTTGGTCCAAAGATGAAAAAAGAGCAGAGACTATAAGGAATGGTATTCTTGTAAAGATATACTGATATTCATTTTAAACTGCTGTTGTGTTGAATCAATCATGACATGCAGTGCTCACAAGAGTTATGCCTATGCAATTTTCCTATATGTGAGGAAGCATATGACATCATATATGACAATTTTTTTCTTTTTTCTTGAAAGGTATTTGTGCAGTGCACTGACTAAGTTTCAGAGAGAGAAAGAGAGAGTAATATTTTTATTTTTTAGCTTCAGTTTAACCATGGGGGTTTCCAGCATGGTAATCTCTCATGATTATATGTGACATGCCAGTCAATCTAAAAAATACAATATTAAATAATAGCAACAGTAATATTTATTTCAATTTCAGTTTTTCTAATTGAAACAAATTTTTGCAGTTTTAGAAACTTCATTGTTTTGTTCCATATGAAAATAATTAAACTAAATAACTTCATCTGATGTAGTAATTTTATCTCTAAAACTGTAAAATTATTTACATTACATATACTGCAAGTTTTATATAAAAATGTTTAAATTAATTATCGGAATTTAAAGTTACATACAAAATTATATAATTAATAATCAAAGAAGAATGAATTAAAGTGGAAACTTTATTATCTAAACTTGATGTGACCGGGGATCTTTTGAATAATGCAGAAAATCTTGTGTTTTGGATAAATCAAAACACATGATAAATGCATTTAAAGTTTTGTAAAATATAAATACTTTAGTGCAATTATTGTATTTGAAATTAAGTAAATTTACTTTACATTAGATTTTATGTTATATACAGTATATGATCTAGTTTCATTGCACTACAATTAGTAGATGACATAATAATTTCCAGTTGCATCGAGAGTTTGATTTGTGATATATACAATACTACATATTCTCTTCTTTTTTAACCATTTTAGATAATTGAATTTCTACTGTATCTTATGAGATATTTCAGATAATCAGAATTATTTACTTCATTTCAAATTTTGGAAATATAGAAGCTTTGAAATTAAACTTTCTAATTTTTATATACATCTTTATGTAAAAAGTAAATTAACTCTTCAGGTTATTTTCTCTCTAATAAAAAAAAAATCTAGTTCTAAAAATATAATTGAATATAATTTGAAAAAGTAAAAACAACAAGAAAAATAGAAAATAATTGAATGTAATAAAAGCATTTGATATATATCAGCCTGCAAAATTAGTTTTAAAATGAATATATGAATGGCAAAAACAATTACTGTCAGATTCATGTATCTCAAAATTCTGCTATCTATCCTTCTGTACTTTCCCATCTTATTGACTTGAATAAATGTGCATGAAATGTTATGAGTGATTTTTGAAAAGTGATGGTTTATGCATGAATTTTTGACAAGGAATTTGAATTGAAAAGAGAGATTTATTTAATACTTTTATTATGTTAAAATTAATTTCTCAAAAATATTACATCATTCAACAATATTTAAATTGTTTTAAATAAAAAAATAATTCTCAAAATTATGTTATGATCCCAGCATAATTACAGTTATGTAGGAAGATATATATAATTTCTAAAACTAAAAATAAAATGTCCTAATTAATCAATTTTACTAAACTAGATCTTATTAACAAATTAATCAATCCTCTTATTCTCTTCAAGTTTTTGTCTTTAGATCTGTAAAAGCAGGCTTTTGGTAGTATCTCTGTATATATTTTGTAACCTTTATTTGCATTTATGTACTATATATAATCTCTGTTTTTGACTTAAATTAACATAGTAAGAACATATTAGAAACAGTATTTAAAAAATTCTTACTGGACTTATAATTCTTACTAAAGTTTTACCTATAACAGTAAAAATCTATTCCTTTATGTGAAAAATATTGTAAGATAAGCTTCTGTGTTTAATAAAGAATTTTCAAACATTTAATAATAATGCAATACTTTAATTGAAAAATAATTAATTTAATTTCAATTTTAAAAATTAGTTTTGCTTATATTATCGTAATTTGTAGTATGGCCATAATTAAATGTTTCTTATTCAGAACTTTCTGGAATTTTTTTTGAATAATGAGGATATCATTAAATTTGATTACTTTTCTACTAAAGGTATACTGGAAAGATTTCTTGAAAAAGCTTTTTAGAACTAAAATCTGTTGACACAGGAAAATATGACATAATATAAGGTGAAAACATTCAAGACATAGAGAAATGAATAATAAAAGATTCTGAAAGTGTAGTTTAAGTTTTGTGTTGCACTACAATGATACATCACATTAGTTTCAATTACTGATGTATAAGAGGGATTGCTTTTACAGTTTGAAACACAAGTAATATCAGTTGATTGTAAATGATGTGCCATGGTTTTTGTGGACCAGAAATTTAGTATTTGGTGTGCTTGACAGCAGAATGTAACACCTGTTGTAAAAATATCTTTGATTTGGCAATCTTAAGGATTAATGTAACAAACATGTAAAATATTCCCTTCAGATTTGTTGTGTCTTTTGGTCTCCCTACAAATAGAGGATATAATTGTATGACAGAAAGTCTTTTAATTAAAGGCAATTTTGGTAAAATAGAAAACCAATGTTTTCGTGAAATTTGCTAGATAATATTGCAAAGCAGTTATCTGAGAACACATTACCTTCTTGCATTGGCACTCCTGCTTATATGCACATGTGCAAAGTCATATCAAAGATGAACTGTTTCAACGGCCACAATCATTGATAAGTAAATTAGTCCTCCTTAAATCTCTGGACCTAAATATCACAAATTTCAATTCAGTATTTTCATTAATAAAATTGACTATTAGTACAATTTATAAAATTACATTATTAAAAATCTCAAACAGTTAACCTAATTAAGGGAAAGAACCTAGTGGGAGAAAAACTCTTAAATCAGAACAATCAATCTCTTACAATGTAAAAGCTATACACTCACCAGCAGAAACTAAGATAGCTCTCTATGCCAATTTGACACATTAACTTTTCATACATTGTTGGTTTGCATACTGAACATGTTTAAAAAAAATAAAATGTTTAACTTGTATGTCTACAAATATCTGGTTAAAAAAATTATACGTAGCATATTATGTAATAGTTTAGTCATATTTAATCCCTAACTTAGTGGGATGCAATCCCATTTATTATTTGAGTATTGTGAAATTATGCAAATGAAGTTCTAGCTGAGTAGTAGTGAAATAACAGTCAATGTTTAACATAACTCAACCACCAAAACTCGAGATAAACAAAATGAAAAATAAATAATGTGAGTAATTAGATATGTATATAAATTCAAAATTCCTCTTGTTACCTCACAAATCAAAATTTGTTAGTTAATCTCTGAATTTTGTGTCAAAGAAAAGACATTGGAATGAACGGAAACGTACTCGGCAAAGTAAATAATAAAGTAACTAACACCTTATTCGTTGCCAAGGGAGTTTATTGAAAACTAACGTTTTCGATCTACTCCATAGATCATCTTCAGGTTGAAACATTCGAATTTGGAATGATTTTATTTTCATACATTGAGAAAATAACTTTTATATGTTTCAAAGATGAAAAAGCTAATACAGCAAAATTTGTTCTTAAATTTATAAATATTTATATGTAGATTAATAATAATTCACTTTTCTTTTCTTTTTTTCAAATTTTTACATAGAGTGCTATAAATGATAGAAAAATTGCTAGTTTTGTTCTTTTTTTATATAAATGTTGACCTTTTGCTTTGGACTGGATCATTGGCTGAAAATTGGTGTTGGAAAGTAGATACAACTAACTGTCTGAAAATTTCTTGGAAATCTGATAATTAGGATCACTTTGGATAGAATAAATATTAAAATTTGAGTTGGGAAAATTGAAAGTAACACAAAGTGGTGTCGGGGACCATGAGAAACTTTTGACTTGAATATTTCTTTAACTCAAATTTTCTCTAAGTTACAGATGTTGAGTTAAAGAAGTTTTACTGTAATTATAATATCTTCTTTACTTTGAATGACTATTAGTAAAAAAAAAAAAAAACAATTATGATTGTAGACAGTAGCCACACCTTGTTTTAAATACAGGTTCTCATTAAAATACCAATAAAGTAAAATTAATATCTACATGGGTGATTTGTCTAGAAAACATTTAGGTATCGATGCCTGAATACAAATTTAAAAAATGTGTAGGGAGGTTGTCCCTAGGTCCACTCTTGGTGTAGTATGGATTTGTTGTCTTCTCAATAGGAAATGAATGATGTCATTCAATAATTCATTTATTATAAATTTTCAAATACAGTAGAGCATCGATTATCTGACCCCCGATTAACCATCACCTCGGTTAACCAACTGTGTTCTAGTCAGCCAAATATTGTAGCGCCACATCACTAGCGGACATTTGCTATGTCTTGGCTACTTTAATATTATTTTTGTGTGTTTTAGCTGGCAACACTGGATTGACCATAAAAGGGAGCCAGTATTTAAACGAGGCTTAATTTTCTAATTTTTAACGATACAATAGTGACGATTATTATTTTAAAAAAAAATTTTGATAGGCTTAACATGGAGGAAAATTCAACACAAAGTAGGTTAATAGCAATATACTAATTACATGGGATATAATAATATACTACACTAATAATGGATTTTTTCATACTTTTCGGTTATCCGACTTTTCAATTATCCGACCAACCCCAGTCCCCAATTGAGTCAGATAATCAATGCTCTACTGTATTGTTAATGAAGTTATTTATTATCTCCATTCTAAAATTCTTGTTATGCTCCTTAATTTATTCTTCTATGTTCTGTGCACGAATATAAACAAAACATTCGTGAGGGGGTTGTGTTAGAATATACAGCATATAGCAGACATGGGCAAATGCGGCTCTTTTTGAGTTACATGTGGCTCTTGCTGAAAGTGTTAATAATAATAAAAAAGCAGAAATTTTTACGATTTTGTGCAAATATGTTTATTAAAAAAATTCAATATTTGTTTTATATTGTATTTACTGTATATTATATAATAAAATTGCGGTACAGAATAAAAAAGTATAGAACTGCGGCTCCTGTGCATTTTGCAAAACTTACATTTCGGCTCCCACTGAACTTTTGCTTTCCCACCCCTGGCATATAGTATGCATGTTGGGATTCAAGAATAATATGAAGAAACTGCAGTACAGAATTAAAACAAACTGGCACTCTTAAAAAGGAATCTAACATCTGTGTTGTTGGTATTTAAATTATTTGCGTTTGCAAGAGATGATAAACATGGTGAACTGATAAGATCACCATGTTTATGAACCTTATTTTGGAAAGAAAACTAAACATTATTTCTTAATTTCTGCACGACTGAGATAAACTTTCAACTCAAAAATGTTCAGACTGACAAGCATTACTTATAAAATGCTTTGCAATTTTAGATAATCTTTTTATCATATTTTGGTACTCAGATTTTCTCATGCACACTATTACCACTGTAATATATAACAATCTTTGAACTAAATTGAAACTAATAGTAACAATTAAAATATTGATAAATTAGATTTTAATATTTTTATTATGTACTTACAAAGTAACACAATGAAGCTGTCATTCTATTAAGTTAATAGATATTTTATTCTTAAAACAGATCACTAAATTAGTATTAATTTCAGTTACCTAATACTGTATTTGCAAATTTGAAATGGATTTATAAATTTACATTTGCAAATATAAAATGAAATTAAGTTAGACAATATTTTGTTTTTTGTAAGCTCTATGGTGATAATTGAAATGTTTTTATTCATTATACAGTGGTAGGAAACAAATGTGATTTACCAATTAGGGCGGTGGATATGAAGCAAGCAGCAGAAGTTGCAAAAAATTACACAATACCATTCATTGAGACCTCAGCCAAGACAAGAATGGGTGTTGATGATGCCTTTTATACACTTGTAAGAGAAATCCGTAAAGATGTAAGTAAATATTTTTAATTTAAAAATGTGATTATAAATATTTATAAAGATTGTATATATATCAAAAATATATACATCTAAATTTTTACTAAATATGTAACATTTAGTATTTCCTACTATTTATTAAATATAGGGAGGATTAAGAAAGTTTCCATTTATGACATTGTAGTCCTGACAGAAGTATATTCTAGATAACTATGTATGTAGGTTATATGATCTTGTGTTAGCTCAAAATGGCATTGTTATTAGATATGTATCAAATATAAATGAACCTACAAAATATTGATGCATATAACTAAAGTGTCCAAGTCTGATCATAGGATAGTTATTCAGTTCCTGTGTGCAGAAGGTGAGACACTTGTCTCAGTTCATCACTGCATAACTGCAGTACAAGGACCTGTTTGTTGAAGACAAATGGAATGGTGCTCACTTTTTAGACATGGTTGTGAATCAAAACTGATTTGTGTGCAAGTCAGTTAGTCTAGTGACAGCCAGAACAGACAAGCTTATTGCAATGCCAAATATAAGTACTAGGATCAGAGGGTATCCATCAGTAGGAAGTGTTGTTTTATCATGCAGGGCCTTGGATTTCATAAAGTCTGTTAGAGTTGTATTCCAAGGGTGTTAAATGAATCTCAAATAAAGAATTGTGATCTCAACTGAACCTGTTTCAATATCATAATGAAGGCAAAAAGTTTCTGCAGTATATAGTCATTGATGATTAAGCATGGTGCTACTGGTAACTTTGAATCAGAATCAAAATAGATGACTGTCACCACTGCATAGTCATTATCATCTCATCAAAAAAGTTTTTAGCAGACATGACTTTTACTGAGAAAGTTTTCTGTGTTTGTTTTTTTATTCTGAGGGTCACTATTTCTGGAATTCAAGTCATCTGCTATAATCATGTGATTTGAATTCCAGAAGCACTGCAAAACTACTGTGCGCAGCATACAGGTATAGTACACATTAAAACAAAGCAATCTAGAAAAATAACATAAGTTTCAATGTCATTTTGTTATGTTATGTTTATGATACAGAAGTTGCATCATATTTAGTGGGAAACATTGATATATCCTCCTTAAAGTTCAGACCTATCAGCACTTTGCTTTCTACATGGATCCAGAAACAGAAATGAAAAATCAGTTATTCAGATCACATGTCACAGTACTAAACCTTGCAGAACAAAAATCCAGTAAATAATTATGGTCAGAAGGACTTTTCAGTTCTTTCTATGGATCTACAGGCCAAAGGTTTTGAATCAGAATGCTTTTCAAATACTCTTGCAATGAATGCAATGCATTTTGAATATTGTTGCATTTTTTGAATACATTCTGTTTTTCAAATGCATTTATAACTTTAAATTCTGTGCAAGGCATCAATATCACAAAAATAATTTATGGACATTTTGTGTGTGTTATTGATTAATTTTTAAAAGCATTTTTTATGGAGTATTCTCCGAAATAATTTTGCTTTCATCTTTGTTATGGCTTGTAAAGTAATATCCACCATGTATAGGATAACCATTTCTCACATATTCAAAAAATGCAAGGATATTCAAAATGCATCAATTGCAATGATATTTGAAAAACATTCAGATTCAAAACATTTGACCTTAAGATCCATGGAAAGGATATGATAGTCCTTCTATCCATGATTATTTACTGGAGACTTTTTTGTTCTGTAAGATGTTTTTAGTACTGTATACTTAAACTTTAGTCCGAAGAACTCTTGTGAGTAGAATCAGATGTCGCAATTAGAGTTCATTTTTCAATAGTTCAAGTGTCAAACATGAGAGTTTTACCAGAAAGGAAACTTTGTCTTGTCAAGCAGTGGGAAAAGTGTCTTAATTCACATGGTAGTATTTTTTTAGAATTGTTTGATGGTTTAAAAATTTCTGAGTAATATTTCAGATTATAAAGTGATAGAACATCGAAGTTTTTGAAAAATTGTAATATAGTTATGCAAGATTTTGTTGGGCTGCAATTTGAAAAAATTGTAGACCTATAAATTTTCACTGTTGTCCATCTATCTGTCTTTCTTTAATCTCAAGAATGGAGTTAGATAGTTGAAATCCGAGACAAGATATGGAAACCCTAGTTAATTGGGACCTCCTACCCCTACGTATGAACTTACGATGCAAACTGAAGCCATGTTATTTCAATCCAAATCTTTTCCTCTGAAAGCAATGACTGCCACGACTCTATTGTTAAAAGAAAAGTATTGTGTAAAGTGACAAACCACTGTTAATTTGAGGTGAAAAGCATATTTTTAATTTACCTGATTAAAAATTGTAGCCTGGCATTGTGACGATGTCACAATAAATAATTGCTTGTTGAATTTGAGTATTCCTGACACTGCCTATGCAAAGATAATATGGTTTTCATTTTAATGTTTGTTGTTAAAAGTTTAGTTATTTTAGCGTTTCATTGCAATGTTTACCACAGTGTTAAAATTTCACAAAACAGAATAAAAAACAACAAAAATCTACATTGAAGGGAAAAACAAATTGATGTTACTTAAATTGTTCAATTGTTCTTACTTTTTAATTGATCCATTTGTCTCAAATCTGATTTCTAAGATTTGGCACTCTGGACAACACTGAATACCTGTTTTTGTGCTTGTTAAGAATTTAATACTCAGGACATTGTAGTCCTGACAGAAGTATATTCTAGATAACTATGTATGTAGGTTATATGATCTTGTGTTAGCTCAAAATGGCATTGTTATTAGATATGTATCAAATATAAATGAACCTACAAAATATTGATGCATATAACTAAAGTGTCCAAGTCTGATCATAGGATAGTTATTCAGTTCCTGTGTGCAGAAGGTGAGACACTTGTCTCAGTTCATCACTGCATAACTGCAGTACAAGGACCTGTTTGTTGAAGACAAATGGAATGGTGCTCACTTTTTAGACATGGTTGTGAATCAAAACTGATTTGTGTGCAAGTCAGTTAGTCTAGTGACAGCCAGAACAGACAAGCTTATTGCAATGCCAAATATAAGTACTAGGATCAGAGGGTATCCATCAGTAGGAAGTGTTGTTTTATCATGCAGGGCCTTGGATTTCATAAAGTCTGTTAGAGTTGTATTCCAAGGGTGTTAAATGAATCTCAAATAAAGAATTGTGATCTCAACTGAACCTGTTTCAATATCATAATGAAGGCAAAAAGTTTCTGCAGTATATAGTCATTGATGATTAAGCATGGTGCTACTGGTAACTTTGAATCAGAATCAAAATAGATGACTGTCACCACTGCATAGTCATTATCATCTCATCAAAAAAGTTTTTAGCAGACATGACTTTTACTGAGAAAGTTTTCTGTGTTTGTTTTTTTATTCTGAGGGTCACTATTTCTGGAATTCAAGTCATCTGCTATAATCATGTGATTTGAATTCCAGAAGCACTGCAAAACTACTGTGCGCAGCATACAGGTATAGTACACATTAAAACAAAGCAATCTAGAAAAATAACATAAGTTTCAATATCATTTTGTTATGTTATGTTTATGATACAGAAGTTGCATCATATTTAGTGGGAAACATTGATATATCCTCCTTAAAGTTCAGACCTATCAGCACTTTGCTTTCTACATGGATCCAGAAACAGAAATGAAAAATCAGTTATTCAGATCACATGTCACAGTACTAAACCTTGCAGAACAAAAATCCAGTAAATAATTATGGTCAGAAGGACTTTTCAGTTCTTTCTATGGATCTACAGGCCAAAGGTTTTGAATCAGAATGCTTTTCAAATACTCTTGCAATGAATGCAATGCATTTTGAATATTGTTGCATTTTTTGAATACATTCTGTTTTTCAAATGCATTTATAACTTTAAATTCTGTGCAAGGCATCAATATCACAAAAATAATTTATGGACATTTTGTGTGTGTTATTGATTAATTTTTAAAAGCATTTTTTATGGAGTATTCTCCGAAATAATTTTGCTTTCATCTTTGTTATGGCTTGTAAAGTAATATCCACCATGTATAGGATAACCATTTCTCACATATTCAAAAAATGCAAGGATATTCAAAATGCATCGATATTCAAAATGCATCAATTGCAATGATATTTGAAAAACATTCAGATTCAAAACATTTGACCTTAAGATCCATGGAAAGGATATGATAGTCCTTCTATCCATGATTATTTACTGGAGACTTTTTTGTTCTGTAAGATGTTTTTAGTACTGTATACTTAAACTTTAGTCCGAAGAACTCTTGTGAGTAGAATCAGATGTCGCAATTAGAGTTCATTTTTCAATAGTNTTAGAAAAATCGGGAATATACGCAGTGCAACTGGAAAATCCAATAACGGGGACAATTGAGAAGTATATAGGGGCAACGACAAGAATGCTCGCTTGCCGTATCGCGGAACATCAAGATGATATAAACAAAGGAAGACAGACCACAGAGCTCGCCAGAAAAGTTCTACAGCAGGGCTATAACCCGTTATGGTCAAAAACAGCGTTGCTCAGGAGCTGTAACAACAGAAGAATTACATTTATTTGGGAAGCGCTCCTTACAATGACCACAGACGCATGCAACGTCCCCACACTCGACTTGCCCGAAATATGGGTTACTTTATACCAGCGTTTAAATAGCAAAAAGCGCCAAGAGTCGCACAATTAGTACGATCGCTCCTCAACGCATGCGCTGCTAGTCGTGTGGATTTAAAATATTTCGAACTCCAGCAAAAGCTTGTTGCACGTGACCAACGGAATTACCGAACGCTATAATTTAGAAATTGACAAGAAAAATTTTCCGTTTTCTACTTGGAACATTCTGCACGTTGTAATTCAAATTTTGTTCTTTTTTTCGCCTGAAGACGACGATATAATACTCGTCGAAAGTACTTGCGATACAAGAAAAATCGTATTAACGCTGAACTCAGTGCTTTTTATCAAGAAGGCTAAGATATCCTAATTTTTTCTAATATTAACTCCAATGTGTACCATTCAAATTTCACAAAAAAAGAGAGAAAATATTATATACTTGGCATTATGAAAACTGTAAAAGCACATTTTGTGCTCACTGGTAACTTTGTATTAATTTTCCTGTTCAGTGTCTCCATTGCATCGATCAGATAGAAATGTATGATGTGGGGAGGGGGTTTAAGGTGATTCATCCAAAAGTAGTAGTTGATCTCCTCCTGCTTGAGAAGATGGTCCCTGAAGAGTTTCGTTGAAGTTGTTCAAAATGTATAAAGAACAAGCTAACAACTGTTTTCTTTTTATACATTAAATGCATTTAAAGCTTTATACACAATAATAAACTAAATATATCCACTTTAAATATTTATTGTGAAAATCAGTTTACATGAAAAATAAATAAATATATTTCTAAATATAAATAATTTTGTTTTTCCAGAGAGATAAGAAGGGAAAAGATAAAAAGAAAAATAAAGATAAAGGAAGGAGAAGAAGATGTATCCTGTTATAATCATAATTCAAAGTAAATATACTTAATGTTTCATTTTTTAAGATTGATATATCAATTTGAAAATTCAGATTCTATAGACACTTAGACTACTTTTTATAAATCACTAAATTAACACGTAATAATTAAAATAATAATTCCCAGTTTAACTATAATATTTAAATATCTATAAAAGTAATACTAAAATTGTTTAGTTTGATTATTGATTTGATCAAAAATATCAATATCTTCTTGTGTATTTCAATTGTTATCTAAAATATGATTTTTAAATCTCATATTATTTTTCATGGCAAAATCAATCTTTTAAGGACAAAATGGGAAGATACTTACTAAAATGAAAGTAAAAAAGTATTTTTTCTACATTGGTGTGACTATCTTCCTGAAATTGTAAATGATAGTGATTAAACATATCAGATTAAATATTTAAATTTCAATGGCTTGTAGCATATTGTTCCAGAATTTTAAATATCAAATAAGCTTATTTAACTTTACAACACAAAAACACTACAAAAAAAAATAAATAAAAAAGTATATATTCTTAAACATTTTAATTAAATGTGCAGCAAAAGAATAATACAAAAGTAGTTGAAATTATTAAAGGTTAGAACTTCGTTTAATATCTGGTATTGTTTTTTTTTTTTTTCCTTTCTTTAGATTTACATGAAGATAAAATTTCAATTGTGATTATGTTGTTAACGTTTATGATACTAATAGATGATTAGAAATGTGTAAATTGTATGTGTTTATTATATAACTAAATCATGACAGTAGACTTGTTCATTAAACATATGAGGAGATTTTTCAAAGAATTACCTTTGCTAAGACTACATAAGATGAAACTTAGGTTATATGTATACTGCTGATATTGACAATTAAAAACAAAAATATAAAACTCTGACCAAAACAATTTAATTGAATTATATACTATTAGTTTATATTATAGGCAATTATGCCATGAGTGGAGCAAGTGGACTAATTTTGATGAATGCCATAATCGTTTATTATGAACAAATTGTCATATGATGTTTTGTGGTTAGACTACACCTAAAACACTAACATAATTTTGATTTCCATGTTAGTGTTATAGGTATAGTCTAACCACAAAATCCATTCTTTACAAAACATGGTTGGCATTTCCCCACTATCCAATGAATGCCTTTCATACATTCCTTTCTAAATTTTTCCATATCAAAATGCAAAAGCCGATTCTATTTTGGTTACAAAAGGGATTACAAATTTTCTTACAAGTACCACTTTCTTTCTGCAATGTCCTGATTTTATATGGGAAACTTTGGGAAGAAATGTATGATAAGTGCTTATTAGGATTGTGGGGAAATGCTAACTGTGTTTTGCAAATGAATCTTAAATTTTTTGATTGTCAATGTCAGCTGTATACATTGTTTGTAGCGTGAAGTGAGTATGATTTTCTTCAATACCGAAATGCATTGTTTTAATCACACTGGTTATAGCAGCGGACTAAAGTGTTTTGAATGTCTCCTGATGATATAAGAACGATTCAAAGATGAAACTTTGGTTATTAGTCTTAGCAGATGTAAAATAGTATGGAAAGATTTTTCAAAGAATTATTATATATGAACATTTTAACACAACAGTTAATTTATTACATTTTAATAACTTTACTCTTCCGTACTTTGTGGTATAAAATGATTTTTAATGTTAATACTATATTAAAAATTCTTAAACAGTGCATAATTCGGATTATGATTGTTTGTTCTAAATAATTATATTCTATTATATAATATTAAATTTGCCACTTTTTTTCTAAATTATAATTTATATTTGCAGGTGAAAATACTGAAATGAATACATTTTTATTCACAAAATGAAATACTATTGATAAACTGCTAGAAATTTTTCTAGCATAAATGGTTATTCTCTCTTCTGGTATAGTTTGTGAATGTGCAAGCTCGAAGAGTTTGTCACTTGAATGATAGTGAGTTAAAGGACCCAATGGAAAGGTAACTGTGATGTCAATTTTATAAAACAGGATACTACTTTTAGCACAACATGTACAATATATAAATAGTAGATTGATTAACTTGACTACAGCCAGAAATCAAGAAAAAATAGCAAATCTACTTTTTCATCTTCAAATGAATCTGCTAGTTGTTATCCATCCAAAAGAAAGTAAATGTAAAAACTTTTTTTTCAATAGTAATAATACTTATTCTCTGCTACTTACAATTGTCTATATTATTACATAAAATTATCGTATGACTTAACTAATTATTCAATTTGACTTTACATTGAATGGAAATTTTCATATTGAATATACATTTTTTATATTGAATGTAAATTTTTGTTTTGTTTGTTGTGGATAATTTCATTTTTGAATTGCATGTTATCTTAGCAGAATTATTAATAATTTTGTCAGTATTATTTTCTGGTAAAAAGTTAAGACAATCTTTTCAGATTTCAACAATAATTGGATTTGGATTGAAGATATTTAAAATTATATATATTATATAAATATGTATTATTAACTCTACATATCGTACATTCTAAATTATTGCCAAATCCTCTTATTGTAAATTGTCTGGTAGCAATAAGTTTCGGTTGTTTTGTTTCTTTACAAATATTTCAGTGTATTTTTAAGATAACATTTGTTATTTCTTGCAAATTTAACTACTTACATGTTTACGATATGTACTGTATGTATATTTGTATACCTGCAATGTGCCTTTCAATGGAGATATTTTGTTTAATATAGCATCATTCTGTGAATTTGCCAAGAAGTCTCCATTTGTATATGCCCATTTGGTGCATTCCATACCCGTGTTAAATGATTTTTAAATTGATATCTGTTTGTTTATTGTGATTGAAATCATGGAATATAGATTGTTACCGTTAGAGTAAAAGAAAGATTCAAATTATTAAAGTTATTGCCATAACATTTTTTCTGAAATAATACAAGTGTTTCATATGTTGTATTGGTCATATTAATCCGACAATACATAGGACGTTCAAGTTAAACTGGGAAATTTTAAAACAAAAATTGATATGGTGTTTTTGAATCATTTTCATTTTCAGAATGACCTTAACCGATACCGATTGATACTTGTCACACACTATATATATAGTTCATGTCACATACAGTAGTTTAACTACTATGATTATTATGAAATACTGTCCATACAGAAAACTTATAGAACAATTTGCCTTCCCAAATCATATGCTGCATACTTCACCACTATGGATATGTATGTCTTGTACAGCTTGTTTCATAAAAGCAAGTTATATTTTACTATATTGTTTACTGAATTTGATGTTGTTGCTAAAATTCTCTTGTGGGAGTTATGCACTAATGTCAGATGTTCAATATGAAACCATGAAATTAAAAAATGCTACAAAATATATTTTTTGAGACTCAAATACATTCACTAAAATTTCACATGCTAATAGATCTTAATAAAATTTCTTTGGGTATGGTTTTTATTGTATGTAATAATGTTTTTTGATTCATGACAATGACAGTAATGTTTTCCAGATCAAATCACCAGTCGTTTTGAAATGCTTGTTAATTATATCATATTATTTGCTTATATAATAATCTTTCAACTCGCTGATCCAATAATTTGCCATCATCAAGTTTTGTGCAATGATCATTCCATGAAACTGATGATAACAATATATTCTTGGTACCAATAATAAATATAAAATCCCAGTTTCTCTTAAATGTCTATTGTATATACTGTTTTGTAATAGAAGCATTCCATTTATTGTTTTGCCAAAACAAGGTAAACTCATTTAATAAAATGTTAGATAATAGATCTTAAATTTAAATTTATCAAGAATTAAAATTTTACTTTCAACATTTCAAATTGAAGAGAGTTTTGTAGTTATTGACAGATTATATTAAATTGGTTTACAATCGAGTATAACTAAGAAAGAAATTGAAATCTGGTGTTGGTAGATTTATACTTACATTTCAGACTTTAATTTATATTCATTGTTTTCTGAGGGGACCAAAGGTTATGGAATAGCAATTTATATCAACTCTTAAAATGGTTTTATAAAATGTTAGAGGCAGCTGTAATTTTTTTTCACTGTTTTAATTTACATGAAGTTGAATCAAGGAAAACCTGTATCAGTGAAGAATGCTTTTAGAAATAAAACAGAAATAAAAGAAATTCCAAAAGAATTAGCTGTTGCGTATTATGTTTTCAATAAACTCCATCCTGTACATACAAAGTAATACAGGTAATTGAAACAATGAGTTAATATTTATAGTTGTGATTTTAATAGTCTAGAATAAGAGTTTACTTATTAAAGACTACATTATTATACACCAGATAAAAAATAATAGTAAAAAATAATTGATTATACTCTCTTTTGATCACCTGTTTGTCAGGCTGGCTATAAATTGTAAAAATCTAGAAAATTTGACCCCCATACACACACCTTTAATTTATCACCCACCATTTAAAAAGATAGCCTGCCTTCCAGTAAATTAATTTTGATTTGTTCCAAAGTTTAAGTATTTTAGAGATTTAACAAATTAAAAAACTTTTTTGATGTTACGTAGATGCAAATTTAAAATAGTTTAAAAGTTGTCTTAATATCAATATTGTTTAATCAATTTGTTCGGACAATAAGCTATCATACAAATATTAGATAAATAATTTATTTATAAATATCAAAATACCATATAACATAAATGCAATAATTTCAAAGTTAAGTTTGTTTCTTGGATTTAATATGTATTGATACATTATATTCTATAGTGTGCAAATTCTGAACAGAATAACATCTGGAGAGTTCAGTTCTAAAATGAACCAAGTACAAATTAAAATTTATTTTATTACCAACATTACAAAAAACTTAAAATGCATAAAAATTATATTATGTTTGGAAAGATTTTAATGCAATATATTATTGCATTAACTATACATTTTATATGCATAGTATCCATTAGTGTATTATGATTTCATTCTTGAAGTCATTTTATGTGGACTTGGTTCACTTTAGAACTGAACCCTCCACATTTATAAAAATAATTTTACTTTAAAATAACATTTTTAAGCATATCTAATATCAAAATATATTACTAAAACATCGTTCATTATTGGAAATTGGCATATATTTGGAATGAATCCAGATAAGTAGTTGCAACTCTGTAACACAACACAAATTGTTCCTGAAAAGAAAAAAAATATTAAAAGCAGAAGATTCGGTAAGTAACAGAATAAGTTTTGAACTAAAATAAATAATTTTTCAAAATAATTATTGAATGACATGAACCCACTAACAGTATATATTCAAAAGTTTTGGTATTGTCATTTATTTGTTCACAGCAGTCTGTTATCGATTGTTAAGGCACTGAGTGATTTTTATAGTAAAGCACACGAGCTGTGTCTAAATTTGCACAGTAAAATCCCAGAGCATTAAAATGTCTGTCTGCTAATGACCTAGGAAAAAAATCGAACACAGCCGTTTCCGACTTCTCAGATCCAGCCATAATGCGAGTTTCGAGTCATGGCAGTTTTGAGATTCTTTGAGACTGCCATGACTCGAAATTCGCATTATGGCTGGATCTGAGAAGTCGGAAACAGCTATGTTCGATTTTTTCGGTCTTTGAGCCTAACATCTATGTAATTCTTGTTTACTTGTTATGGTCCATACACATACGAGAAAAACCATAAGTATTCTGGAAATAATACAATACAATGCAGCAAGATGACATTTTAAAATAATTCAACACATTCTTACTGTTTATAAATTCATTCAAATGGCATTATATAACTGTTAACTGTTAATGTTTAGATTAATTGCGTAAGTAAGTAGATTGCGTGCATGTGTTTGCTTTAAATTGTTTTGAATTGTGTAAATCCACATTTTATAATCAGCAAAATTTACGCATAACAATGTCTACACATGTTTTGGTAAATTTCAATACGAATTTTTACAAATCTATCCAAGATCTTTCCCCTTCGGCTGAGACGGCCATTTTTTAATTACAGTTCTGTACATTAAGGGTTGGGCTAGGCCGGCAATATGACAGAGACTTGCTGTAACTAATTACTCAAAATAATTTATTGTAAACGGTTTTGTTCTGAAAAAACGCTGTAAAGTTTAAATTTCACTGGAAGACATTAGAATGGGAAAGCTCGTTTGTTAAAACTAATATACAGTATTAAATCCTAATTATACATACGAGATTTTCTATAAGTTGTGGCCTATTTCCACGAATACATCTTACAGCTAGGAATACGTCGACTTCTTGTTCTGCCTTTATTTTATCCAGAACAAATACGGAAGTGCAATAAATCCCACAAGCACGAACACCGTCTCTACAGAGGAAAAAAGTAAATATATTTTCACTATTCTACAAGACTATTGCTATATATAAATTGCAATACTTACAGGCATTGCACTACTGATGTTAGTTTGCCAGTTTGTTGTTGCCATTTCTCTACTCTATCAATAAGATGTAAAATATTTTCATCGCTATACGGAATATAGCTATTAGAAGGCCAGTTATTTAAGTGAAATTGTTTAATAGTTTTAGTAGCAGCTCCCTGTGAAATGCATCCACAAATTAATAAAATTTAGAAAGTAAAAGTATAAAAATAACGTAACGGAAATATACCTTTCGAGTTAAATCTTTCAACCGAAATGTTCTTATTATAATACAATCGTACATTTCTGCCGAAATATTTGAAACTTCTGTGTTTTCATAGTTGATAGTGTCGTTAAGATTTGGCCAGTAAGATGGACATACCTGTAGAATAAAATTTTCTTTACGTCCAGGTATCCCTAATACAACACGGTTTCGCTAACCGTGTTGAGGGAAACCTGTATACCGCTCTAACACGGTTGGAAAATTGGTGTTGTACTGGAATACAGTATCTCCATTTAAAATTTTTTACGATTTTCCGGATTCTTAAGTGCAAACACCATTATTTTTTTCTTTCTTTTAAGAAAGCATACGTGTCGTCACAAATTTGCGTATGGATACTATAATAAATGAAAACTGATAGTAGAGAGTATTTTTCTTCCTTGTACTATTTCTTATTAACCAAGTATTGTTGACATTGCTTTCAGACATTGGCATTTAAGACTCACTAAGTGTTAGTTTTACGAATGATTACTTTTCGTATTTAGTAAGTAATGTATAAAAGTGAGGAACGAAATACAGCGGTATCTCGGTACTCGAAAAGATAATTTAAGAACCTTTATATATAATAAATTAGTCAGTAAATTGATTCAATGGCAAATTTAGATCTTTACTTATATAAATATGTTAAAAGACCAATTGCATAAATCTTACCTCATCTAATTCGTTTAGAAGAATAAGAGTGTTGGATTCAGAAAATAGCATCATTCTCCAAAAATCCGAAACTGTATTTGGTAATGGAACTTGAGTTACAATAAAAGAATCTTTTTGTTTATAACCCTAAAATTAAATATTGTTAGAGATATTTTCGTAAATATAATACTTTGATTGAAATATCTTACATCAATGTACACAGCGTTGATATAATTTGATTCGGAATCACAACCTCGGAGAATCACGCGAGCTCTTTCAGCTGTAAATATGAACAAAGGTGAATTAAAATTATTCATAATTCGATAATAAGTTGAAAAAAAAATATTCTTACGTGGTACAACATTTACATTCCTGTTTTTTAATTGATTGTCAGATTCGTATCCTGAACGACAGTCGGCTGGTTTTATTTTTGGACGAAGTTTCTCTAATCTCTACATGAAATTATAATTTGTTATTAATTACGAATTAATTAACAAAAAAAACTGGTTCTATAGCTTAATTTCTAGTGAATTCGTCAAGAAAATACAGTGAAAGCTCTCTTAACCGATACCTTTCCATAAAGGAAAATGACCGTGGTATTAAAACAAAAAAGTATTTAACCTTTATTACAATTGATCTTCCTTAAGCGGGCACCCTTCATTATGCATACGAACGCATAAAATTCACTAAGATAGATGATTTCTCTTAACGGACATGGTGGATCATGGTCGAATCGACTTCTCCGTGTTGACTTTCTGCGATTGCAATGAAATCGATTTAAAAAACTCAATACTTTATTCCCTGTTGAGTTCTTAAAATCGATTTGACTGCACAACTCATAAAATTTCTATTATATGTAATGTTTGCTAACTTATCGTTATGGAAACGTCTTTGCTCACATCATTCGCTACGGAGCACACGCACCTTGCGACCATAATTAGCAGAAAACGTTTTTCAATGTACAGTACTAATATATCTCATATTCATCAGTCCCAAGCTATCCGTCGTCTTGCATTCTTTTCATCTCTTCACTCGTGTTACTTATGACTGACTGAATTTTTCTAAATAGCCGGTCAGCGTCAGAGACGGTTGCACTTATCTATTGAACATGTCATAAGCAAGACGATGGACCCAGGCGTAAGCTATGGTCCTACTCTATATTATTCGGAGACATATACAACCTCTTACGTAATACGGTACTTTCTGAATAAGAAATTGAAGATTGTCCGCGTCTATATTCTTGTCTATTCTTAATCTGCTATAAAGGTAGAACACGTGTTATTTTTCGTATTTAAAACAGAATTTGCGAGTTTCGACGTCATTTCCATCTTATCTTTTAATGTGGGAAATGAGAAAATTAAAAGGAATGTTCAATATTAGAAAAACGCAAACTGTGAAAATGGGCAATAAAGAAAGAACAGAAAAGGGCTGAATCCGAGTGCTCTTAACATTCACGACTTCTTTAGTTTGTAAAGAAAATTTTAAAGTATGAGTGGAGAACACGAAAAATCTCCAATAATTCAAAATGCTGGTAAATCAAGATGTTTCAAGAATAAGCAGTACATTAGACTGATTTTCATTCAATTTCAAATTTTATATTGTTAAATGAAAATAATTTATTCAGAAATTCTCTAGTGAGGACGAAAAATCAATATTAAAACAATTAGGCTATCGAATATTAAAAAGGGTTTTAACTAAGATTAAATTTAGGATTATTTAATTTTTAAAGAAAAAGTATGTTAAATTATTTACTTCGTATTGTATGTGAAAACCTGTTTTTCCTGTCGAGGCATTAACTTTCTTTAATCTGTCGATTTCTTTGTTATAATCAGAGCATAGAATCGATGTTTTAAATTCGCATAGACAATCGGCTAATGCTCGATACACGAAACGATATTGCTCCTGTTAAAAAATATCAAATGTTTTTAAGTTAACTCTTCTTTTTTTCCGTTTTATCGTTAATTCAAATCTGTATATATAAATAAATAATATTACGTAAGTTTCCACGATGTTTATTCGCTGTTGCCGCATACCGGTGAGATGAGAAACAAGATCTACTTTATTTTCTGAATTTGCCATATCTAACATGCTGTCTAACAGAATTAAAGTTCCAGTTCTTCCAACTCCTGCACTAAAATATATAAATTCAAATAATAATAATATAATTACTGTAGAGCAGTGGTTCCCAACCTTTTTTTCATTAGTGTACCCCGTGACATGTCATATCTCTAGATTGTACCCCTTATTTAAGAAATTTAGTGAGTAACCGTATTGTTAATTTTACATATTGTAACTTTAAATTAAAGAAAAAATGTATAATAAAGCTGTGATTGTCGCAAGGAACAAGAAAAAATGTATAATAAAGCTGTGATTGTCGCAAGGAACATTTTTTATCTAATAATTTTTTAATACTATTAGTTTGTGATACATAATATATTATTTTTTCTGCCATAATAACTAACTTTTTTCTGTATCCCTAAACAACCTATCGCGTACCCCTAGGGGTACGCGTACCACAGGTTGGGAATCGCTGCTGTAGAGTGTAATAAGCTTTGTCCTTTTTGTATCTAAAAACTTCTAGACATAGATTAATTAAATAGGTTTGCATTTATCTACCAAATCCATGGTGTTGAATACTGTAATTATCACTTCAATGAGGTTGATTTGTAATAGTAAAAAAGTTTGTAAAAGCCATTCTTATCAAGTTGTAAAGATTCAAAATGTCTAAATTTAAAGAAAAAAAATTATCGGCAATGAACTCAACAACAGTTCACCTTGGTAAGCAATCACATCTCACATCTTTGCTGCAAACTTTGAATCCCGCGAGCATTGAATGAGTGGTTTTTCATTGAAGAAACTCTCGAGCATCGGATATTTCAATATGGCTCTGCAGGGGGGGGGGCGAAATGGATGTAGTCAGTTGTCGCCAAGTCTAAGCTGTAAGGTGAATGAGGCAGAACCTCCCAGCCTAGAATGGCCAACTTCTCTAAGGTTATCATTGCTCTATGTGCTAGAGGTCGTGACAGTGTCAGACTTCAATACTGTATTTGGAAGAAGTTCTTTGCTACTAATTTATGAACACCAAGATCAAAGTCAAAATTTGATTAATTATACATTTTTCTAGAAGTTGTTGGATGCAAAAAGAAAAAGCTTAGAGCATTCTTTGTGCTTTTAATATTGATATTCTGTAATTTCTATAAAAAATAATATCCGTATAATAATTTGTAAATATATAAACCTACCTACAATGCACAACAATAGGAGAATTGCTCTTTGGCTTAAAATTTCTGACATTTTGTAAAAATGAAACGACCGAATTTGTAAATCTGGGTACATCGTGATCGGGCCACGTTACGTAATGAAAATGTTTCAACATCCACGTTCTTTCTCCCTACGAATTAATGTTCAAAGTCATTTATAATATTAAGTCAATTAAAGCGCAAAATAATAATACAGAATTCGTACTTACTTGGGTAATAAGAAACGTTCTAACGACATAATCTAAACAAATTTCCTTATCTTTTAACGATACGTTAATGTTTCCGTAATTTTCTTCAGTTTCGGGCCAATATTTTTCACATTTTGTCTGAAATATTTGAAAATTTATGATTTATTCAAACGTTACCAATGAAATTGTTACTTTTCTTCAATATATATTGTATACATTTTAAAGTGATACTTTCTGGAGAAATTTCTGTTTAATTCGTTTCTTAACTTATATACACCTTAAGTTCGCACAATCACGCTTGTACTGTACAATCAAGCACAATTTCAAAACAAACTTATACACTGTACTTTAATATTTAATGTAATATTATATCTACACAAGCTGATATAAAATTATATTTTTATATTTCAAAACAAAGTAACCAAATTACAAATCTATCTTTCAGTGAAAGTTTCGATTTATCGAAAACACATTTGCTAATTAAGCAACTGAAAAGTCCGAAGCCAACACTTGTTTACTATGGTTACTGCTAAATTTAATTTTCTTGGCATTATAAAAGTATTTATGCAATGTGAATTGTACTAAAATTGCAATCATAGCATTTTCTTAAGGTAAAGTTACTTTCTCACTTGGTCTCTGTACTGGAAAGGTACTTTCTGAATATGATTATTTTAGAACAGAATACATCAAATAACAAAAATGGAACTGTAAAAAGTTAGTTTGTGAAAAACACGAAAAAGTCCAAAGTACTTTAAAAAAACTAAGAAAGAATTGCCACTGACTATGTCACTTTTTCAAAGTCAAAAAAAAAATAAATAAATGCTTTTTTAAATCAAACATTTTTCACGCTCTTTAATTACCATCAATATATTAAAGTATAAAGATGCTTTAATAAAATACACTGCAATTCAATTGTTTACCATCAATGTTACAATAATCATAATCAGGCTCACCAGTGGCCAAGCGGTCTTCGTACCCTGAACACTGGGAGTTCGGTCGTGTGTACCCCGAGCACACCAGTGGCCAAGCGGTCTTCGTACCCTGAACACTGGGAGTTCGGTCGTGGGTTCGCGCCTCGCTCGGACGGGCTGGCACGTGGAGTTTTCCGGGTTTTCTTTCCAGTTTCCTCCACGTCTGTAACGCCTAAATAGGGGCCAGTTTCCCATAAAAAGACCTCCCGGAAGTCATCGCCCAAGTGTTGCGTTGCCATAAATCAAACACTAAAATCTCTCTAATTTATGCGAGTTGCTCTCCAGTTCCAAAACAAATTAAAATTCACGTAAAATTTCATCATTACGATGTTCATTACATTTTGTATAATTAGAAAACACTTTAAAAAATGGCATCGGCATTGAAAAATTTATTATTATTATTGAAAAATACCTTTCCGTTTTCCACCAGATTAGTGACCATGACTATTTTACAAACATTCTCTTGACAGACCATTCTCCAAAAATCATGAATTGTCGTCTGCTTCGGTCCTAAAAAGATGAAAATTTGATTTATTTTTATTTTATTCGGATGCAATATAATTTCTTTAACTTTTTTAAGATATATCACCTTGAGTTGCTATATATCTTTTTTGTCTTTCATATCCCTGAAATTGAAATAAGAGTTAAAGATATAAATTACTTTCGGTAGAAAATATGAATAAAATTGTCGAAATTTCGTGAAATTTATCTGTAACAAACGTATTAGAAAGGTAGCAGAATTCTATAAATCTACTTACATCAACATAATTTGCATTAATGTAGTCCGAATATGGATCATTTAGGCATATTTGTAAAACTACACGAGTCTCGTCATCTAAAAATTGAAAAATGTATTAGAATTTGATTAAATATGCTTTATTTTTTTAAAAAATGAGTTTATATTTTGAGAAAGTCCATATAGAAATTCAAGAACGTTTTTATAAATTTGATTTTCTTTTACAGTTTAATGAATTTATGAAGTAAATTACGTAGGTAACGAAAGATACGGTGTTTTGTGGATGATAAAGTTTACTTTGAAGATTGTCATTCTCTTAATTAAAAATGTGTAATATTGAAATTTCATGCTTACATGCAAGAAGATTTCCATATCGATTCTTTGGTTTATTTACTGGTAGTTTAGACATGTCCCACGATTTGCATTGTCCTTTTTTAACAGCCTAAATAGCATTAAAAAATGTAAATAATAAATTTTCTCACATTGAGAAACGAATAGAATTGATTTATATTGTTATACCATGAACTGCCTTTTCAATTTTCCTGTTTCTGTGGAATCTATAATGTAATTTTCCAAATTTTCAATTGAAATTTCGGTAGATCCATCTATTTGTTTTTCTTTTATTTTATTTTCTGAGCATTCTTCCAAGATTGGATTTGTGGATGATACAATTAAATCGTCATCTAAAAATACACCAAAGTAATTTTTAAGTATATTTCTTATTACGGAGAGTTAATAATTTTACGCGTGTTAATTGAATGTCATTTTATGTTCGAATATAAAACTGTGTTAATACTTTTTTAAATTACCACTATATTTAAAATTAAGAATAAAATGATTACCATTTTTTTTATTTAAAAATTTCACATTAAAACCATTTTCTTTTTTGATTTTTCCTAATAAATTACGCTTTCTGCCAATATACGATAAGAAATATTCATTAATTATCACTTAATTATAAGTAAAGTATACATTTTAAATATTACCTGTATCCTATTAAGGCAATAATTATTATTAAACACGCAAGAATTCCGAATAATACACCTATTAAAGAACTTTTATCTGTTCTTTTACTCACTAAACGTTCAAATAAAAATTGAAATTAATAATTAACAATTACGCAGAATAGATATTTAATGTTAATATATTATTTATAAATTAGTAAAATCTGTACATACCTTTTATAACATCGGATAAATATTTATATCCAATAAGTATTTTCTAAAAAAAATTAATCAAATTTTAAAATGTTATTATTAAAATTAAATTTCAAAATTACAATTTTTAAGAAACATTAGACCACCTGAAGGGTTCTCAACGAAGAGACTAATGCATAACAAATAGGGTATATTAGAAACATTAGACATGTTTCTAATATACATCCAATTCAATATAACAATAATCTAGCATCTAAAACACTAGTTAATTATAACTAGTTAACTATATTAGGCTAATTGAAAACATTACATAATCATACTAAAAAAATGTGATTTTTCAGTAAATAATCATAATTTACTTTATGTTATAACATACGTAAATAATAATGATTAATTTTACAAGAGGAATTATCTTACCCCATTATAATTACTTAAAACAGCCATTCCTAATTGATAATTTTCTCCTGTAATTAACGGTGCATTGTAAAAATCGTTATACGTTTTCCCATCTCCAACGGTAAAGTTTATGCCTTCAGAATCGAATTGACGAGGATAGAATCTTGCAGTCGAATAGTAATTTACACTCGTATTCACAGAAGTATTATAGTTAATTAATTCTTTTTCTTCTATTTTAATTTCTCTTTTCTTTAGTCTGCCTTTTCGTTCTACAATCACGTGATATTCACTGAAAACGTCAATTGAAATATAATTATTCGTTTGTTAATTTAAATTAAACTATATTGTTGCAGACATTAATAAAGTTAGTATTGGTTTCGGTTTTGACTGCTTGAATTTGGAATTCCCATATACAAATAATGTTACGTGACATTAAGTGATTTACTTAAAACAAGTAATTATGTATTCCCTTTCGTGTGTGTGTTCGTGTGAACAATAATAAGCAATTTCTTAAAATAAAAATTGTAAATTATTAACTTCGTAAAAGTTATTGATTGGATTTACCTAATAGGTCCCTTGTCGAATTTAATTGGTTTTATTAATAAACCAATGGTAGAATCTGTTACTTCTAATACCGCTGGCTCCACTTCTATAATCGGTACTGAAATAAAAAGTGCGAATTAAATATTCTTTCCTTTACAATGTAATCGATACATAAAACTTCACTAATACCTGAATGATTTGTTGTAAACTGCACGTTTAAAGGACTTCCATATCCCGCCGATGTACTTGCTTCTATAGAGACGTTGTATAAAGTGGCAGGATACAAATCCTCAAATGCATATTGTCTTTGAGTCGCATTAACAATATTGAATTGACTGGTTCCAGAGACGGTTTCGTTAAATGATTTTACTGCGGTTATGTTAATCTATTGTAAATTCAACTTATTTATATGTTTTGAAAAACTTTAGTATCAATAAAGTACTTAAATTCTATTGATTATACATTCGGTTTTATTTAACGTTTTTATTTATCAGTTTCTGGAGAAATATCTTTTATAGCTTTCACATGTATTAAACTATTTACACAAATAAATTATTTTTATCTCTTTAAATTTTAATAAATATTTTTTTCAAAATTTTATGATATTTGAAATTAAAATTTTTATCGAATTTCTGTAATTTCAATTTATATCAGTTATATTGAAATAACTACCTTTTCAAATATTTCTTAATACATATACAAATACTTAACACCTTATTCTTGCCGAGAAATATAATTTATTTGAACAAACTAACGTTTTCAGCCTGATTCACAGGCCATCTTCAGGTTTAGAATACATTTGAATTAGAATTCCATCAATGGAATACAAAATTTAAATTCAAAATTAAATAAGGTACAATTAAAATAAAATATTAAATAACCAACATACAACAAAAATAAAATATAAAAAATATATAAAAATGCAACAAATGAATATATAAGTATTAATAAATGCAATTACTAAGACATTCAATAAAACTACTATATTGATTGGTTAGAGCCCTTATTAAACTTCTTAACCATAAANTAACTTGATTGATTAAAGAAACGTTTAAAATTTTAAAATTATTAATTAATAAAACAAATAAACTTCTGCAATATATATAGCCATTTATGCCATTGCTAATATCATATAAGTATAATAATATAAAGCAAATTACTGTTATGTTCTTACTAAAGCAGAGATTGCTTTAGTAATTACAGTATAATAATATTGAAATCTTCCAGACTAATTCAGAAAAAAATAAAATGCAAAATTAAAAGAAACAATTTAAGAATGCTTCATTACCGCAAACAAAACCGTTGTGTCGAACTGAATAAAGAGCAAAAACGTAGGTTGATGTAATGTGAAGCTACGAAAATTTCGTTATGCTGTAATTGTTCTTTAACAGGTGGGCAAATGAAGCTTTTTGATTGACAAATGGTGGACAAACGAATGACACAAGTTATTTGAAAAAATTCAATTGGGGATAAGAACTTCACAGACCCGTGACGTATCAGTGGCATGGATCGATCGTCGATGATTTATATAGTTATATTTTTACAAAATACAGTCAGATGTATATAAAATCAGTAAACAAATATATAATTGTCTTTCTTTAGGTTTAGGAACATTCGATTTTTCTATTCTTTAAGACATATTATGAAAAAATACAAGATAATAAAGACATATGAATAAAAGTATTTTTGTAGTCTTCCTTCTCGTCCTTCTCACAATCACAGGAAACATGATCCACATTGGCAGAGTAGACCTTTTACCTGATTTACGTAAATTTACGCGGAGGAGATTAGAAAAATAAGAAAGGACAACAAAGAAGATTACAGAAACCAACAAAAATACTTTTATTAGTATAAGTCTTTATTATCTTGTATTTTTTTACAATATGTCTTAAAGAATATATTTCGTCTTGGAGTTTTTAGAAGTTTTTCTTTGCAATTTTTCTATTCTGTCGGGATATCACTTTAGGACACAGACTGGACATTGCTAACTCCACCACTTAAACGAGGTGGCCAATGGCTATTTGGATTTATTTATATTAACAGGGAATTTCGGGACAGCGTTTAAGTGTTTACCCGAAATTCCCTGTTATTCTACCCCCGAAATTGTGTCCCTAAAGCGAGGGTTTACTGTAATTTTAAACTGAATGGAATTTATTATGATAGTGTTGTTAGACGATGATAAATAATACTACTTACTCTGTAAGTTTTTAATATTCCGTTTTCTCTCTTGGGCGAATCCCAAGATATTTTAAATGAATATTCGGTGGAATTTTCCAAATTAGCTTTTTCGGGTGGATCCGGAACTGAATATATAAAAAACATGGATTACAAATACGAAGAAAAGTAAAGTAATATGAATCATCATAAAGAAATGTTTTAAAGGAATTTACCTGATTCTTTTGTTTCATCTATAATTCTACTCGAATCCCCTAAATCTTTAACGTCTTTATTTTTAGCTTTAATCTAAAATATATACGAATGCAAGAAATATTTTAGATTTGTTTTTACTGCCTTCAAACATATATTTATTACTATAAATGATATTTACATATATAATATATTCCTTCTTTGCTTCCAGATTATTTATTGTATAACAATGATAATTCGAATGATCACACGAAACCTTATCAACAGAAAGCCAGATCGTTCTTAATTGACGGTGTTCGCATTTATTTTCATTGCATTTATAACTGATTTCGTACCCTTCAAGTATTCCGTGGGGTGGATAAGGTGATTTCCATTTAAGTGAAAGTTCTCGATTTGTTTTTCGAATTACTCGTAAATCATACGGAGCTGGCGGTTCTAAATAAACAAAAACTTCGTTAATTGTTTAAAATAAAAGCAGTAAGTAAATTTAACGACGATAATTGTAGCAAATTAATCTAAATTTGTTTTTGTGTTTTACGGTTTGTTCGTTTCTTATTTTCTCGAAAGTAAATGAATTTTACGCTGTAACCAATATTTTGTTTTTTATACACTTTTAATTACTCTGTTTTTTGTCTGGGTGAAATCTCGTAAGTCAATTTTTATTCTCTTCCCAATTTCCGATCTAGTTGAAACTTTTCACACATGTGTATTTCCGGCGACGATACATTTCTTTAGAGTTTGAAGAGTATTTTCGCAATTGGTAAAAAGTTAGCAGAGTTAAAATTTGTAAGTAAATTCTGATAACAAATGGCTCTACACGTAGCTATGCTCTTTTCAGTCATATTGCCTAGGCAATATCCTGCAATTCAAATTTCGTCAACTTCCCAATTAAATGCTGAACTAAGAATTCGATAATTTAATGTTACATAAAAAGTAGAAAATAAAAAAATATTTTAAAAATTTAAATAAACGCTTTTTATTCATATAAATGCACTGAAAAGTAATAAAATAATTTTTCTTCCGCTTTCTCAGTATTCTTGGTATCATGCCACCAAAAATAAAAGCTTGGGGCGTGCGCCTAAAAGAGNTCCGTTTTCTCTCTTGGGCGAATCCCAAGATATTTTAAATGAATATTCGGTGGAATTTTCCAAATTAGCTTTTTCGGGTGGATCCGGAACTGAATATATAAAAAACATGGATTACAAATACGAAGAAAAGTAAAGTAATATGAATCATCATAAAGAAATGTTTTAAAGGAATTTACCTGATTCTTTTGTTTCATCTATAATTCTACTCGAATCCCCTAAATCTTTAACGTCTTTATTTTTAGCTTTAATCTAAAATATATACGAATGCAAGAAATATTTTAGATTTATTTTTACTGCCCTCTTCAAACATATATTTATTACTATAAATGATATTTACATATATAATATATTCCTTCTTTGCTTCCAGATTATTTATTGTATAACAATGATAATTCGAATGATCACACGAAACCTTATCAACAGAAAGCCAGATCGTTCTTAATTGACGGTGTTCGCATTTATTTTCATTGCATTTATAACTGATTTCGTACCCTTCAAGTATTCCGTGGGGTGGATAAGGTGATTTCCATTTAAGTGAAAGTTCTCGATTTGTTTTTCGAATTACTCGTAAATCATACGGAGCTGGCGGTTCTAAATAAACAAAAACTTCGTTAATTGTTTAAAATAAAAGCAGTAAGTAAATTTAACGACGATAATTGTAGCAAATTAATCTAAATTTGTTTTTGTGTTTTACGGTTTGTTCGTTTCTTATTTTCTCGAAAGTAAATGAATTTTACGCTGTAACCAATATTTTGTTTTTTATACACTTTTAATTACTCTGTTTTTTGTCTGGGTGAATTTCGATAGTCAATTTTCACTCTCTTCCCAATTTCCGATCTAGTTGAAACTTTTCACACATGTGTATTTCCGGCGACGATACATTTCTTTAGAGTTTGAAGAGTATTTTCGCAATTGGTAAAAAGTTAGCAGAGTTAAAATTTGTAAGTAAATTCTGATAACAAATGGCTCTACACGTAGCTATGCTCTTTTCAGTCATATTGCCTAGGCAATATCCTGCAATTCAAATTTCGTCAACTTCCCAATTAAATGCTGAACTAAGAATTCGATAATTTAATGTTACATAAAAAGTAGAAAATAAAAAAATATTTTAAAAATTTAAATAAACGCTTTTTATTCATATAAATGCACTGAAAAGTAATAAAATAATTTTTCTTCCGCTTTCTCAGTATTCTTGGTATCATGCCACCAAAAATAAAAGCTTGGGGCGTGCGCCTAAAAGAGTGAAAGAAAGTGTAACTAAGAATATGAGTGCCCCAAGCTTTTATTTTTTGTCGCGCATTACCAAGAATACTGTGACAGCTGAAAAGAAATATTATTTTTTTACTTTTTAATGCATTTGTGTGAATAAAAAGAGTTTCTTTAAAATGTTTTTAATACATTTTTTAAATTTGACTTCAATATCTATCAGGACCGGTGCTAAGCATATGAGCACGCCAAAAATAGGGCATTTTGGCGTTCCCAATCGGACAAGATAACTATAATACATTATAATAATAAACATTATTGACTAATTCCGAAACCGTGCCTTCTTTTAATTATTCTTTACTTCACAACTGGGTGCATTAGTGGTAGACACTAGGCATCTTTGTGTAAGATATGACTGAATAAAGAGTGCTGTTACAGATGTCTAGTGTCTGTCTATGCATCCAGTTGTAAAGAATAATAATAAACATATTACGTACGTAATAAAAATTATTTTAATGTTACTTTAATATTTATTTATTATTTATAAAATGAATATGGAAATGATAATTAATTACAAGCAATTTAATAAAACTACCAAAATTGAATTAAAACACTTAACTTCTTGTACTAGAAAGTAGCATAAATATATAAAAAAATTTAAAGTACTTATTAATGTTTAATTATGTTTATACATAATAATGCTTATAAAAATCAAATTTATAAAACTATTCTTTAATTATCACATAGTTTTCATATCATTTTAAAAACTATTAAAATAATTTATTTATTTATAGAGTAATAGTTCCTCGAGTAATCTATTAATTATTTCTAATGTTTCTTAAACTTAAAAAAATTTTTTGATATATTAAAATTAATTCTGCATAATTTCGTCTCTTTTCTAGAAAATATCGATAAATTGAGTAAATTTTCAGGCTTTAATAATTTGATATCAGAATAGCGAATTAAAGAAAGGATAAAAACTTCTCATTAAATATCAAAAATAGAAAGAAATCCGAACAACATTACGTACAAATTTAATAACTTTTTGTATAAGATACGTAATTTGTATACGTATAATTAATATGTTAAGACATTACGTCTATTATCGACATTTAATTTGTACTCTTTCTTTTAATATTTAGAATATTGGTTTAATCGTTAATATGCACTATAATCGTACTGTATGATCTGATGAAGACTTTAGTAACGACGAATCCATGTGGCAATTCCATGACTGTTTATGTAATACCTCTACTACTGGAGCATCGTGGCTTCACCAGGCCCAAGCAAATTTGAATTAGGGGGCCCAACGTACAGTGTTCCCTTCATACATTTTTCTTGGGGGAATTTTTTGTGGAAAATAGTTTTTTTTTTTTAAATGATTGGTTTGGGACTCCCATCTATGGGGACCCCAGGCAATTGTCCATTTTGCCCATAGCATAACGCGTCACTAACTTGTACGTGTTCCAACAACACTTAAATCTTAAATATTTATTTATTAAACGGTCGAGAACTTCAATTCGTCACGAATTTGTTCGAAACTGTAAATAAATCCTTGACGAATAACGAATCAGTGACCACTCACCGTCTTCTGAAGGTTATTCCTCTCAAATGAATTTCAGCTTGATTATTCTATATTATGTACTGTACATTAAAATACAGACTTGTGTTTAAATTTAAATTGTGTTTACATTTAAATTAAATATTACTTTGGTTTATTATTTGCATATTTTTGCTTAATTCTCTAAATTCAAAGTGTATTTAATGCAATATAAAAAATTCACAGAATAATTACATTTAATATAAACAATACACAGACTTACTTTCATTCAATGTCTTCGAGGTTATATTAACAGACTTGTAAGAAAAACCGATATTGTTTCTTGCAAATATTCTTATACTGTAACTTGTAAAAGGAATCAGATCTTGAAAAGAGAACGTTGTCACTCTCACAATTTTCGTGTCGTTTCTTGAATCCCAAGGATCTTTACTCGTAATTATTAATTTGTAAGAGTTTATATTTCCGTTGGAAAGGGAACAATCTGGAGGAGACCACGATAATTTTAGTGCTTTTCTCCATGAAATGACTTTCAGATCCTTTAGAACGCTGTATGGAACTAAAACGAAAGTGTTTTCAATTAGATAAATATTTCGAGTAAAATTCAAATACTGTAATATAATAATAATTAAATAAAAAGGGTATTAACATAATTTTATTTAAATCCTTTCAACTAATAAACTCACGTACTAAAATTATTTAATAATTACTATAGAAATCGAAAAATTCTATTGATAAAAAATACAATAATTGTAATTTCTGACAATTCTTAAGTGTATTTCGGGATTTTTTCTTTGGTATTTTTATCAACATTCAATGCAATTTGGAAAATTTAAATTGATAATCTTTTGTTTTATAATTGATACTTTAAAAGCAAAAATTAAATTTCATAAAACTTTTTATTAATAAAATATATAAAGAAAATGTTTCGTATATCGATTTTAGAATATGAAGTAAAAAAGTAAAAATCTAGCCTCGTGATTCAAAACTCAACAAGATCAAACTTGCCATAAATCATGGTTTATTTTAGAATTTCAATTTTCTTTCTTAAGTTATTCTTCTGTATATTTTTATCAATTTCATTTGATATTGATCTTTCATTCTTTTTTAAGGAGAACGAAACAAAAAAATTTACTATCGTACTATTTTAACTGTTTCCGCTCTATACAAACTACAAGTTCTTTTATTCATACCTATTGTAGTTTCCGACATGTTCACAATAGCGATGGCCGGACGGCGAGGGATTGGAGTTCGACATATCCGAAAAAAAATCGCCCATGAAAAATTCCTGCTCGTCCAAATTTCATTTAGGAACTCTCAGAATAGTAGGCTGAGGCTTTATTTAACATTGTTAAACGTCAGCCTACTATATAATTAGAATAATTAGAATTTTCTATTTAACAGAAAACTAAAGGTTTAATGTTGAAAGATTCGAATAAACGAATTTCAGAACATAAATAAGTAAATGAATTAATACAGAAAACAATAAAGTAAGTTGAAATAACAAAAAAAAATGTATTTATTTTACATAACGTGATAGAGTGTCAAGTGATTTTGATTGAAAATACAATATATATCACTTTTAAGTTGTATCATCCCGTAACCGTGAAAGAAAACAAAAACATTGATACGTATTACTATTTGAAAGATTATTTTAAACAATTATTGTTCTGGACAAAATTTTTAAGAGTTTTTAAACAAATCTGTTTAAAGCTTTTTAAAAGAAAAGAGAATCCTGTAGTACATTTTGAAACGAAATGTTTGTGTGTGTAGTAACTAATTCTTTAATATTTAAACAAGCGGTTCTTAACCGGTGTTCCTCAAACTTATTTCAAGTGCTCTGCGAAATTATGAAAGCGGGGGACTATTTCATGCGTATTACAATATTATTTACTATATGTACGGTGTTGTATCCTTTCCGAAATTCACAAAGGATATGCCCAATAAGATTTTTTATTGAGAGACATTAAAATTGATTTTGATTTTATTCAAACAAAATGGGAGTTTTAAAATATTAAAACGCTTTTAAACAAAGAATATAATCTGAAATTAGCAATAGTGTTAAATTTCACATCTGTTACAATTAAATCACACAGCTACGTTAAGTAACCACACCTGTCAAAAAATACCATCAACCCAATAGCAAGAAACTACAATTTAAGAAACGTTAGCGTTGTAAATTCGAAGTGTGCAGTTTACAGAGCAGAGAAAAAAATGCAGTAGATACGTTTCCTTCGTTTCGTAATAACAATGTCGAAGTAATTATATCCGTGTAGATAACACTTAACACTATTGGGAGAAAAGATTGCAAGTTCCTTCCCTTCCTTAAATATAAAAAAATTATGGACGGATTCGAAATCCATTTGCCATAATTGATACATCGAGTTGCGAATTTTCGTTACAAGAACAACAACAATTGGTTATCTTGTCAACGGATTGTACTTTAAGAATAAAATTCTCCGAAATAAGTGTTGAGGAATTTTGGATTTTTGTCAAGCCGAAAATCCGTCTCTGTACAAATGCACTGAAAATTTTGTTACAGTTTTCAACATCATATTTGTGTGAACTCGGTTTCTCAACATTAATTTAACCTACATAAAAACTAACAACGCGAAAGACTCACTAACATAGAAGAAATGACGATAGATATAGGCCTATATCACATATTAGATCTGATATTGCTGAAATCTGCAGAAGCCAATAAGCTCAGGTATCGCATCGAAATTGATTTAATGACAGAAAATATAAGAATCAAATTCCAAGGTCAGACTATTTTATAAGTAAAATAAAATTATCTACCGTATTATAATTTCGAATCGTTTGAAAAAAATTAGCTTGTACACAATTTGATATTGTGTGAGTAATAAGACTGTCCAGCGTCAGATATCCCATTACACAAACTGTATTGGATCTTAGGGGAGCTTTCGAATGTTTGTCCTTCAGAGCCGAATAGCGGTTACACAGTACTACCATAACAATCACAATTATACTCAACGTTTAAATCGGGCGTTAGTCGGATATGTGTGAAAGCGAAAGATCAGCCCGATGCCCGGCATCGGATATCCGACAACCGGACGAAACCAGGATAAAATAAAACATTTTTACAAGTTAACGCAACAGACAGAGTCTGTATTTTGTTTGTTATTTGCACCAAGTGAAATATAACTTATATTAAAATGATTTAAAGCCACGGGGCGAACGGACCACCCAGAAATTCTCAAGGGTAAGTCCACCTCCGAGTATAATTGAAAATCATCCGACTTCCATCTTGTCACTTTAACCACCTGCAAGAGTCCTTGCTAGCTTACTTTTATATATTACTGGTCTCAATTTAATCGTAATATAATTTTTCTTAAAATTAAAAAATGATCTATATAAAGATTTATATATAACAAACTAGCTGTTACCCGCGACTTCGTCAGCGGAGGTTTTGCAAGCAAACCCCATTTACATCCAATATTTCAATAACCATAGTAATTGTTATATAACACCTACCGCTGAAGAGAATTGCCGAAAATCAAACGAACTATTTTCAATTTGATCAATTTTCTGAAACGTTTACAATCGTTCTATAATCGAACCAATACGCAATAACAAATTCGAATTTAAAAC